ATGTTATTTCATCTTCACCTATATTTTCATCTTTCTTTTGATCACTATCTTCTTCAGAACTTTGTTCAACATCCTCTTTTAACTTATTCACTTTCTCCTATCTTACTTGAGCTGCTTTCTTTCGTTGATTGTTATATTCATGAAGCTTAGCATGTTTTTTTCTCTTAACCATATTTAAACTTTGTTGAAATGTTTTTTTTTTTTTTTTTTTTCTTTGTTTTTCTTTTTCTTTTTTTTTTCTTTTTTTTTTTCTTTTTTCTTTTTTTTTTTTTTTTAAAAAAAAGTGGTATTCAAAGCCTGGCAACAATAACTAATTACTAATTATTTAAGTAAGGCACTAATCTGTCTCATTGCTTCTTTTTGTCTCACTAATTTGTCTCACTTATTCATCTTGTAGTACTACTTTTTCTGGTTAGATTTAATTATAGCGTAGCTTTATCTTGTTATTTAGATTAACTATAGCACTGTATGTCCAGCTTTAAATTGATGCATAATTATTGATAATGCTGTAATATAGACTATTAAAATAAAAGTTGATTAAAAATATGATCAATTATTAGCCAATCAAGTGTAAAAACAAACTTTGATTAGGTAATTACAGATTATGTTATCTGTCACATTTTCGGTCAAGCATATAAAAATACAACTTTTTCAACCTGATATATCTCAATAACAGGTAATTGTAAATTTAAGAAAAAGCTACCATTTTGTAACAATCTAATTTAGCTACAAAATAGCAGCTTTTTTTTTTTGATACTATATGTATATGATTTTCGATTACATTTTAAAAATAGTGACGCCTTTAGATATCCTGCACTATATGAAGGTTAGAAGTAACTAAGGTAAAATACTCTGCTGGGGCCTTGTCTCTTGTTCAAACTGATTTTATTAAAATTTAAAGTTAGCATTCTTACAGCATTAACTTTTTATTTTATCAAAAAGTAAATAAAATAATCTTTTTTTTCGATTACAATATTATAAAAAAAAGAATCCAACTTTATCTAAAAGGAATATTAAATACATTCACACTTGCACTAAACAAATATTAGTATATAATTAATAAATTAGATCAAATAGGCTAGGTGCTACAAAAAGAGACCAAATTGACAAAACAAAAGATCTTCAGAAAATCAATCTTATAATAAATCATAAGAAAATACTAAATTTTATTACCGTAAAATCTCAAAATAGCAGGCATGGGCGTTATTTCAAGATTCAGCCCAAATTAAGTTTAATTTAGGCTGAAACTTGTAATTTCATCCCTGCATGTTATTTCGAGATTTTACAATAATACAACTACTATTGTGTCTTAAGTAAAAAATGATCCTAATCTTATTCTAAATTAATTTATGTAAAAAAATATTTTTTGAAAAAATTGTTAATTTGGTTCCTTTTTGTAGCACCTAGCCCAAATGTACTACCTATATAATTGTTTAGTATAATCAGTATAACTAAAGAATGTAAACATGGCCAGCTCTGCCACCTGTAATTTTTTAATTTTATTATTCTACTAACCAAAAACCACAAATTAAAAATACTTCAACCCTAAAACATAAACCTCTTTACTGTATTTAATATAAATCTCTTTTTTACTTTGACTAAAAACATATACATAATTTAACTAATTTTTTTCTAATCCTTTTTATACAAAAAAATAGTTGATTATCATACTATGTATAACAAATCTGAAATTACTTCATATTGGTCTGTTTAATAGTAGTGATTTGTGAGCTTCAAGCTCTAAGTATCTGTATTCTCTTATTATGAATTGATTTGTAATAAAAGCAGTGTTATTTAGTAATTGTATTTTTAAGTGATTCTAGTTAGTATAGTGGCTTAGTGCTACATATGCTTGGCCAGGTATGAATATTTAGTTGTTCAGGTTTAGTAATATAGTAGGGAGTATAAGTTTTTATATTTTGTAAACTGTTGCAAATATATTTTGAATTAAAAATTAGGTTTAACTAGCAAGTATGCTATTTATATTGAAACTGCTTGTGAATTTTGAGAATAAAATATTTATAATAGCTTTTTTAATATAGAAACTTAAATAAACAAGATTTAGTTAAGAATCAAGGTTAGTAATAATATCTATTATACTATTTGCTATTTGGTATTGATATTATAAATTAGTAAAAAATATAACTTATACACCAGGTTGAATTCTAATAGTTCTAGTAAGTTGGTTTTGTTTTTAAATTTGCAGAGTATTAATTTGTTATTATATATTTAGTTATTAAAGATATTAATGCTATTGAAGATTATAAATTTGCTTTTTTAGATAGGGATTATAATACATATTGATTTGTTAATTAAGTTTGCATTTTTTTTGTATTATATTTATATATAATAATATGCAGATATGTGTTATTTTAAGACCTTGCATGTTATTTTAAAACACAAATATACAAATAATTTAAATTATTTAGATTACAAAAAGAAGCTTTAAAGACGTGGTAACATAGTAAAGTGGTAGAGTTGTTACACCCCCAAGCTATATTAATCAAAAGTATAGAGTTCAAATCCTACTGGTGACATTTTGAATAAAATCTTTTGTATTATGGTAACAGATCTTTATTGATTAGTTGTTAATTACCTGTAACTCCGGTTACTCTATTATTGTTAAGATACTGGAAGGTTCTAGAGCTTTCATGTTATATGAAGGAATACAAACCAGTCTAGACAGTGCAAACTCAGGATAAGTCTCTAAAACTAAAATAAAACTGAAAGAGAACTAGAAAAACTAAAACTGGCTTGGCAAGACCTGAGTTTAGGAAGTAGTAAGGATATGATGGTGCTACAGAACAGAATTGGACCAACTGAAGATTTAGAGGATCTGAACGACAAAACCCTTATAGGTTCAGGTTTCTACCAACCTGGCTGCCAGAGTCACACTAGAAGAAAAGAATATATACTCTAGAAGCATGTATCAAGAGAAGGGAGACTATAAGACACTTAAAGCCTAGATAGGCCAACCTTACTGAGCCAACTAGTTTGGAAGTTTGGTGAAACCAAAAACTTAGTTTGTGAAGAGAAATATGAAGTAGGAATCCAGTCTAAGAATAGCAAACCTTCACAAGAGCAAAAGCAGTTTAATGGAATAATAAGCAGATATTAGAGAACTGCAGATTTGATAGAATTCTACACTATAGAATTAGGGACCTGGGATGTCAAATAACAGGCTTAACAGCTTGGTCATAACTACAAGTAGGAGTCTTGGCAACTGCAAAAAGATAATTGTGAGTAGGTACACAAGAATCTAAAATTGGGCTAATCTTGTGATTACTTCTGATAGAATTAGGTCAAGGGTAAATTGGAAATACTATAGATACTTAGATATATCTGTATAGATAGATCTTAGATATAAATAGTTAAAACATAGCTCTATATTTCATATACAATTAATTAAATTATGTAGTTCATATAGTAATACTATATAGATTAATATATATTAAAAATTTAATAAAGCATTAAGACCAAGATCTTATCTTGATAAAAAAAACAAAAAGAAGCTCTACTTTTATTAACAAACTTAGCCTAAAAAATTAAATCAAATATATAATATAGTATATTTAAAAGGAGCATGATGGAAATTGGTTTTTATTGGCTATCGATTTTGATTATTAAATCGAATATGATTGGTCAATAAATCATAGATCCTTATAAAATTCCTATGTATTAGTATTAGTAATATAGCAACTTTTAAAGTAATTTATGTAACAACTAATTTTTTTTTACTAGTATGTTCTTCATGCCCTAACAGGTCTTTTAAAACTTTCAAATCAAGTGGGATCAAGTATTTAAAGGTAGTTGGCTTATACGTAAAAGTTAACAAAGGTATGAATGCTGTAGTGGTTACTTTAACTTCTACAACTTAGAAGGTAAGAAAGATAGTAAGACGCATTTATATGATGCTTTATTACTATTTATCTATATCTTCTAATGCATTTTGTAATTTCAATACATCTCTATCTTTCTCTTGAATAAACTCATAGTTTTCTTCTGTTTCTTCAGAATCCTGTAATTCTTCAATTCCGTTCTCCTTCATAACATAATTTGTTTCTTTTTCAAGTCTTTTCAAAAATGAATTAAAATTTTTGTATATACTATTCTTATAGTACTGTTCACAATGCTAGCAACTATATTCCATCTTTTCATAGCAGTACCAGTGAAAACTATGACTACAAATCAAGACAGTACCATCATTCTTTTTACTTAATGAATCAAAGCAGTCATCACAAAGTCCTTGTAAAGGAGAAATACTTGTACTATAACTTGTAGGTAAGGACATAATATCGACTTCTTCATTTAAGATAGCAAGCTTGTATTTTAAAACTTCTTTTTTCTTTTTTCCTTGTTTTTTCCATAATTTACCTGTTATATAGTGCAGGAATCCTTAAATCAACATATAAAATACATAATTTTTAAAAGTTTATAAATCAAAAACCAAAATAGATATCAATTAAATCTCTTTATAAAATAATAAAATTAAACCTAAAAAACAAAACTATAAGCTTGGTTTTTTGAGTTAATTAAAATTTAATCAAATTATATTTATTTAAAGTTAACCAATTTTATTAATAAAATTAAAATTTGGCCAGTCACGTGATCTAAAAATAAAGCCTTCTATTGGCCAAAATGCGTAAAAAAAAACTGTGTAGTTAGAAGTTTAATATGATTGGTTGGCTGGTTATAAGAATATATCAGTTAGATAAATGAATCTTATCTCTATTGTTATGCAAAGCCTATTGTAGTTTATATATTATCATATTACCAAATCTGTAATAATGCATTAAATATGTAATCATAGTGTAGGCATTATATAAATTGACCAGTAAATTAGAAATTTATTTCCCAAAAATGAATAAACCATTTTGGGGGACTCAAAGTTGTAAATACGAAGGAATAATACATATAGAGATATTATGAAAGTTGTTATTTGTACTAGGTTAAAGAAAGATACAGAATAAAACATAGTGTTGTATGTGGTTGTAGGCAAGATGAATGAATATGAAAAGTCAAAACTAAAGCTTACATGGGTAAAAGCCCATTTTTAATACATTTGAAATCTAATAGATGAATCAGCGAAGAATAGGGTGAGTGGATGAGGAAAAAAGTAACTGAATATATGAAATTAATTGAAATAAGTACACTTTTCTTGGAATAGCACAATATGAACATTTAAAATTAGCAGGTTAATATCTGCCAAAGTCTTGATGAAAGAATCATCTTTATTGTATGATTTGTGATGAAAAAAATCTAGTGCATTTGATTTATCAAATGCATAAAGATTGATTCATATATTGTTTGATGCTTGTAAATAGTTTGCGTAAAAATGATGTAATGAAAATATCGTATAAAAGTGTGATAAATCTCTTTTCATTAAATTCTAAAAATTGTGAAAGGCATATTTCATCTCACGGTTTAGCATCAGAAAACCTACAATAAAAAAAAAAAAGAAAAAAAAAAGGTAAATAAATATAATCAATTTAATCAAAGATAAGAAAAGTACTTATATGAAAGCTGGCATTTAGGACCTAATCGGCTTCACTTATAATTACTAAAAATGACATGATTATCTAAAAGAAAAGTTCATTTATAAAAGTTCAGAGTACAAAAAAAAACTAAAAACCAGCACCAGGTAAAAGCTTTAAGAACTTACAGTAGCAGCGATGAACTTAGTGACATTGAGGATGGCGATATAGAAATAAGTGTTTTAGGAGATAAAGAAGTGAATAGCGTAATTACAAGACTGTTGCAAGCAGTTCTGAAAGTAACTAATAATCAGCCACTTGTATACATTGAAAATTCAGAAAGAACAAGAAGGTAACAAAAACAATTATTGCAACAAGCTGCAGTTGGAACACCTAAGTTAGAGTTATTTTGGTTACCAGTAGCTATTTTTTTGTCATTTATTGATAATATGGTTAGTGGATTATGTTTTAATATTTATTGAATTATTTTTTTTTTGAATAGAGAGTAGATATATATATGAGTGATGGTGTGGATATAAATGATGAACCGATTGGTTCAGATAGTAACTCTGAAAATGATTTTGAGGTTGAGGCTATAAGAGACTATAATATAATGTCTTCTGAAATCTTGAACAGTACAATTGAACAATTGAAAGAAGAAATCAAAAGCGATAAATATAGTAAGGTTGAGAAGGTTTGCCTCTATACAATGCTGTCTTATTTATGTCTTGTGGAACATGGCTAACAAAGAGTTGAAGCAAGTATTATTGTAGCGGAAGCAGCTGGAAAAGGTGCTTATCATGCTGATGTATACGTTCATGGACAATAAATTATATTTTAAATAGAACAATTTCAATTTCAAGACAGGGCAAACACCCCAAAATCTGGAGTTTCTTATGGAACGATGGCGTTTTGATGCAGATTAAATTCTTTCTTCGATCAAACAAGTGGTGTGTTAATACAAATGAATTGGTAAAACATGTAAATAAGAAAATACTTCCAGGCCTTTGTTTTGATCCATCACCAACGATATGTGTAAGAATAGCTAGAAATAGAGTAGGGGCACGGTGACCCAGGGCATGCCCATGGGGGCATGCCTTTGAACCAAAAGGCACGCCCCTGTCATCTGATTGTCTACCATTAATCACGTGTTAAACAACGTTCTAATTGGCTATTATCAATGCAACAAAATGACGAACGTATAGCACATAAATACCTAATACGTACAGTACAAGGGATGTACGTACGTATCACTATTTTCAAATTCTACCTAATTTTTTTTTTTTAATACTATTTTTATAGTCACCACAAATCTTTAATTTGACAGTAAACACGGCAGAACTTTTAGAGT